ACTCGGGGACTGGAGCCCTCACTGGGCTAAACTCGGGGACTGGAGCCCTCACTGGGCCATCATATAATCCCGAGCCGGAACAGTGTCACCAGGGTCTCCCCATCCAGGGAGCTTGAGAGGGCGAGCGGCACAAATGCCCTCGCGTAGGTGAGCAGGCGATGAACGTCGCTCGTTCCGCCATGTTGGCGGGGAGAAACTAAATGGAAAACAAAAGACTTATAAAAGAAAAACACGGGAGAAAAGTCACCGTTTACTTTTCTGTTTTGGTTGGGTCTTGTCACGCTGCTGCTGCTACTGTGTCGGAGCGAGGAGACGGCGGGAATCCAGAAATAATTAACTTTATTTTAACACCAAGGAACACACACGTAGCACAGGAACCGACAAACATTCAACAAGTAGACCCAACAAAACCAAACTGAACAGACTGGGGCTTATAAACACAGCGGAATGAGGATAATTAACTAAACACAGCTGGGAACAAATGAAGAACTAATTGGGGAACATCATGGGAACAGGAAGGACCAAATAAGGGCATGGAAGGCACATGGGAAGCAAAACACACAAAACAAGGAACAGAATCTGACACAGGGACGCATTTAACTGATTGAAAATATGAAATCAAATCTATACAAAAGATTTCTAACAGCAAATTAGCACATTAAAACAATTTCTGAAGGATCATGTGACACTGAAGACTGGAGTAATGATGCTGAAAATTCAGCTTTACATCACAGAAATAAATTACATTTAAAAATATTTTAAAATAGAAATGATTAAAACATAATAATATTTCCCATATTTTTTATTACAGTATATACTGTATTTTTATTAAATAAATGCAGCCTAAAAGACTTCTTAAAAAAAACATTAAATAATCTTACCACCCTAATTTCTGCATCTAAAAGTATATTACAAAAATAAGATTTAATTTACAAATATTTAATTCTATATTAGCAATATAATATAGATATAATTCAAATGTTAATAAATATTGCATTATATAACAGTAGCTAGAAGTTTTACCAGTGTCTGATAACCAAGACATTTCAATTACACTACAATTTACTATTTAAAAGTTAGGTCTGTTTTCTTTATTTTATTTTTAAGAAATTCATATTTTTTTATTCAGCAATGGCAAATTTAATTGACAGAACATTTAAACTAAATCAATACAAAAGGTTTTATATGCCAATGTTTTTTTTTCCACAAAATTTTTTATTATATTAAGCAGGACAAATGTTTCCATCATTGATAATAAGAAAATAAGAAATGTTTCTTGATCAGCAAATCAGCATATTAAAATGATCTCTGAAGGATCATGTGACACTGAAGACTGTTGATGCTGAAGAATGATGCTGAATATTGTTTCAAATTGTAATAAAATTGTAATAATATTTCACAATTTTAATTACTAATTACTCGATTTTTAATCAAATAAATGCAACCTTGGTGAGCAGAAGATACGTCTTTCAAAAACATCAAATAATCTTACCAACCTCAAACTCAAACGGCAGTGTAAATGTAAACTAGCAATTGCAACCCAGTTTTACTTCTATAATCCATTCTTTCATACTTAACAATGCCAAAATTCACAGTAATGTGCTGCCTCCTGTAAACCATCCCTTTATGAAATACAGCACATTCACCGCTGTCTTCATGCATGTAAGGAATCCATGATGTACGTCACAGATGCTTATTTTCAGGTACGCCATCACAGCACAGTTTTTATGAACACAGAGAGAGCGTGAGGATTTAACATTCACCAGCAGGCCCCACTCCAAATTAGCTCCATTAATATTTTACTATTTTAATATTTTAGGAACTGTGATATTTTGGGAGAAAATTGAAACTGCCACGACCTCCTGGTCATGAAAATTAACAACCCGCTCAATATGCTGTCTCTTCTTTCCACACACACAGACACACACACACACACACACATACAAACTCTCTGTTAACACATTAAACACTGCATGGCAGATGGACGCCCAGATAGTCAATGTCCCTGTTAATACCCTTTAAACCTTGTCTGTAAACTTGCCTTTGCTTCCGCACAGATGAATCTGGAGTAGGTATCTAAGGGTGCTACATTTTACAGGCTGAATATAAAGACCAATGAGCTTATATGGTGTGCGCAGAACAAACCAAAGAATTTGGGTCACTCATTACAGAGGAAATTAATTGATGTAATGAGGCTGACATAGATGTTGAAATGTGCCATGGAGAAATTCATTGTGCTTGTCATAACCTATTTTTTCCTTTAGGTGTTTTCAAAAGATTCTCTTAAATAACACATGAAGAATGCTGCAGGAGAGTAATGGAGCTGTCTCCATCTAGCGGCCACGTCTTGAATTACAGCACAAGTGAGACGGTCACATATAATCAGCTACTACACAAAACACATTAGACAAGATCTTTAGACACTGAAGAAACTGAAAAACTGAAAAAAAAAATGAAATAGAGATCTGAGGACATATTGTCACCCAGGTACAAGAGACTTTTACTAAGACTCTTTTTCTAAATGTCTAGTGAAACGAATAATTGCAGCAGCCAGCAGTTGGAAATTGAGAAGTTTTCAAATTTTGTAATAACCTGAAAACAACCTTTCATAACATCCAAACAACGAATTTTGGTTTTGGCGAAATACACCACAAATATACCATAATCAAATGCCAACTGAATGCTTCAGAAAATTCTCAAGAAGTCAAACTCCATGGTCATGAATGTAAAAAAAATGTAGGGAAAAAAACCTACTATCAACATTTCTCCAGTTTTATTATCCTATTTAATGCTAATTTATTAGGAGAGAGACAAAAATCTTGTAAAGTGTATTTCATTTGATATATATATATATATATGATTAATATGTGTGTGTGTATATATATATATATATTTACGAACACACATACACATACATACATACATATAAACACCCACACACATATACATTACATATTACATAATGTAGAATTACATAAAGAATAATATATTATGTGTGCATATATAGCATGTTAAAATATGAACATTTTCAAAGGTATATTAAAAGTACTATGAAATTTGTCATTTATTTTTATTATAAGCATCACTGTATATTTTAATATGACAATATATTATGAAATATTTTAAATGATGTAATATATTATACAATATAAATGTGATATGGTTTATTATATATATGTAAAAAAATATATATGACCATTCGATGTACAAAAGTTGTTGTAAAAATGAACCCTTTCCCCAGACGAAAAGGATGTAAATTTATAACACTTTACTTTGTGTTTTCTTACCTCTGCATAAAAATACAGTGTTTCTAATACAAAGACTGAGGGAGTTCTGCATATTTGACATCTTTCTGTCCTCTGATTAACATCATAAATCAATTTCCATTTTGTGAACATCGGGACAAATGAGAACGCATAAAATATATATGTTGTAGTTTCCATACACCACTAGACATTTACCCAACTATGACAACTTCCGCATCTGAGAAACCCAGAAATGTGAAAAGTGCTCATAAGGCACCTGCTGATTCCATCCTCCAGAGTCACTTCTCCAAGTCAATACTAAAGTGAAAGTGACGTGACATGTGGCCAAGTATGGTGACCCATACTAGGAATTAGTGCTCTGCATTTATCCCATCCTAAGTGCACACTTAGGAACACCATGAACACACACCCGGAGCAGTGGGCAGCCATTTATGCTGCGGCGCCCGGGGAGGCTTGCTCAAGGGCCCCTCAGTCGTGGTATTGAAGGTGGGAGAGAGCGCTGTACATTCACTCCCCCCCCCTACAATCCCTGCCGGTACGAGACTCAAACCCACAACCTTTGGGTTACAAGTCCGACTCTCTTAACATCATAAATCAATTTCCATTTTGTGAACATCGGGACAAATGAGAACGCATAAAATATATATGTTGTAGTTTCCACCCAACTATGACAACTTCCGCATCTGAGAAACCCAGAAATGTGAAAAGTGTTCATAAGGCACCTGCTGATTCCATCCTCCAGAGTCACTTCTCCAAGTCAATACTAAAGTGAAAGTGACATGTGGCCAAGTATGGTGACCCATACTAGGAATTAGTGCTCGACTCTCTAACCATTAGGCCACGACTTCCCCCTAAAGAAGTGATGAACACAGAGTAACCACTCAAACAAGCCCACATGAAAACATAATGACAGAAACAATATATAGCATGGAAGCGCTGACTGGTTAAGCGGAGTCTTACCTGTCGTTTGATGAAGCTGGAGGTGGTGTCAGACGAGGTGCTGCCATCCGAGCGTTTAAAACGACCCTTGCGCTTCGGCAACTTTCGTGGTAGCTATATGGAGACAACCACATCAAAACAAACAGTCACCTGGTTACAGTATAACATCAGACACAAGATGTCTTATAAATAAGATGCACTTTGTTGAAAAAAGTTTTTTTTTTCAATTGCTTGCACACATTTTCAAAACTTTGCCTCCTTTTTTCAAAACTTTACATACAAATCCAAGAATTGCAGACACAAAATGCAAAATGCCTCACATCTCTTGCAAAACGAAGCACTGAATTAAATATCACAAACACATCTCAAAAGCAAACCTTTGCAAACACCTTTGTCATAATATTAATTCCCGTTAGATTGTTGTGTGTTACATAGGAATTGTGTGTTGTGTTTTGCAAAAAGTGTTTTATGAAATTGAAAACTGAGTAAAGGCTTGAGGTGCTGCCATCAGAGCGTTTAAAACGACCCTTGCGCTTCGGCAACTTTCGTGGTAGCTATATGGAGACAACCACATCAAAACAAACAGTCACCTGGTTACAGTATAACATCAGACACAAGATGTCTTATAAATAAGATGCACTTTGTTGAAAAAAGTTTTTTTTTCAATTGCTTGCACACATTTTCAAAACTTTGCCTCCTTTTTTCAAAACTTTACATACAAATCCAAGAATTGCAGACACAAAATGCAAAATGCCTCACATCTCTTGCAAAACGAAGCACTGAATTAAATATCACAAACACATCTCAAAAGCAAACCTTTGCAAACACCTTTGTCATAATATTAATTCCCGTTAGATTGTTGTGTGTTACATAGGAATTGTGTGTTGTGTTTTGCAAAAAGTGTTTTATGAAATTGAAAACTGAGTAAAGGCTGAGAATTAGTGTGGTTCTGGTGTTTGAGTGTCAGGTTTCAGAAATTGTGTGACAAGTAAAGATCTTCTGTGTAAGCAGTTAAAAAAACTGTAAGCTGGTAAACTGGGCTAGGACACTAGATGTAAGTGTCTCTGGAGCTCCAGCAGCAGTTAGATTAATGTTCACATTATAGGAAATGGGTCTGGAGTAACTGTAAGCTCTTTAAATAGTTGAAAGTGAAGTCTTGAAATATGACATAGATATAAAGTTTGTAACTGTTCTAGTCAGCAGTGCTTAAATACCTTGTATCTACAAAGGAACCTTAGTTTTTTTTATTATTATTAAAAATATTGTTGGTCGCATCAACTGCTCAGTCTTACAAGTTCTTTTTACAGAAAAAAAGTGGTGAATCTGAAATCTTTCAATCTGAAAAGTAATACTGATACCCCTCAACTAACTGCTAGTTGGTCAGACTAGTTTTAAAGACAGTTTTAACTTAATGACTGTATTTTTGCAACTAGCTACTAACTTTAGTCTACTCTACTCTAGGCACATTACCTTTCTTGTTCAAAAGCAAATGTGTTTTATTTATTTTTTTGGTATTAAACAGTAGTCCTGTTGGAAAATCCAACCCGATTTCACAGGAAAATATAGCTTTTTATGTAAAGAAGATGTAGCGATTTTTTATGAATTTATGAAAACATCATTTTTAGTAAGCATTAAACCCCAAACGAAACCGCCATTGGAGCTTAAGTAGCATATATCATAGACAAAAAAATGTATGAATGAGATTATACGAATTCATACAAATTAGCCACCAATTCAGAAAAATGTAAAACAGATTCAAATTGTCATGAGATTTGACCAATTTTAACTGGTATGACCAGCTAATATCTGGTTTGTTGCTAATCCATGATGGTTTAGCTAGTGACCAGTTGGGCCAACTTAGACCTGCTAGAAACCAGTTAGTTACCATCTTCAAAAAAAACAGCTACCAGCTTAATATGGTATTTCACGCAGGGCAGGTGACCATGGGACTTAAATTGGCTACAGGTGAGACCCATGAAAGTGAGGGTTCACCATAAGGGAATTCTGAGAGACTTTAAATCCGTTTATCCGTACTCAGTAGAAACTGACAGAAAGCAAGTGTCTGAACTCATACATGAACATTACAGATGCCTGGCCTGAAGGACGAGGCCTTGGTTGCGGTGGGAAATCTCAGGGCGGAGGAAGAACCGCGGATGGTGGAGGAGCATCAAAACATCTGATCCATATCTCGCCTCCGTTCATTAAAAACAACAGCGCGTGACTGATTAAAAGCGCGTTAAAGGCGATATTACACGGGCAGATTGTGTAGCTGTAGCGCTCTGCGGATATATGAAGCGCTTCAATGCACGACTGCTCAACAACAAGTAGCAGGGAATTAACCATTTATGAGATCCTATTCAAATCCCCCAATAGTCTTACCTGAAAATAGTGCGACTGAGCAGCGCTTTCTACACCAGACAGAGGGTCTGCGGAAGATTTGGACATCTTTACTTGCACCATCTATTTGAGAGCGCAGGGAGGCGGGTGCATGCATGCATTGGTGCTTACTGGAAGAAACGGCGATACCAAATACATATGCCTCCCGAGGAAGAAAAGGGTATCACGATTGAACAGTCAAGCTTCTGTCTGAGCTGCCTGCGCAGAGATAAGATACATTCCCTAAGATACATTCCCTCGCGCGGGTTATTATAAATCGAGATACTAATACAGGTGTACAAATGCAACGGGACTGTTTCTTGTGCATGCGCTGCTCTCTCTCTCTCTCTCTCTTCCTCCCTCTCCCTCTCTCTCTCTCTCTCGCACTCTCTCTCTCTCTCTCGCTCTCTCTCGCTCTCCCGCTCTCCCTCTCTCCCTCTCCCTCTCTCTCTCTCTCCCGCTCTCCCTCTCTCTCGCTCTCCCTCTCTCTCGCTCTCCCTCCCTCTCCCTCCCTCTCCCTCTCCCTCTCTCTCCCGCTCTCTCCCTCTTTCCCTCCCTCTCCCTCTCTCTCTCTCTCTCTCGCTCTCTCCCTCTCTCTCCCTCTCTCTCCCGCTCTAATGTAGATGTTCTCTGTATGTATGTCCCTCGCTCTCTCTCTCCCTCTCTCTCTCTCGTACAGTAGGCTACATACCAATTTTATGTCCAAAAGTCATTAGATAAACAAAAAGCAAGATTTGGAATACTGCTGATTTCTATATTTTAGACTTTGTACAAATCTGAGATTTCTCAAATAAGAACATTGCAGTGGCTTACATCACAGCAACTCAGGTAATGTGGTGTTTTTTTATGTAACACGCAGTAAATGTCATACAACCTCACAAATAGGCTATCACTAAAATAGGTGTTCTGGATAAATAACACTGGATTCTTTGACAGCACTAGGCTCACAAAACTTTAGAGTGACTCTCTGCAAGTCTCAGCCAACGGCGTGAGTCAGTTTGAATGGCCTAATGGCAGACGGAAACCTGTTTGAAAACAATCATAATTAGCAAAAAACAATTATTATAAATAGACAAATGTATCCAGTGATGCAAACTTTTCAGCTTTTTCCACTTTCAAATTTCACCATTTTGAATTGAAAATATTATATAATTTACATGATTAATGTAACAGAATGTGACGCAACAAGAAACGTTTGGCTTTTTTAACATATTAGGCATACAAATAAAAGTGAATGTGTGCATCTTTTAAATATTTGTTGATAACTGAAAAGTATTACTTCCCAACTAGAATAGAACCAAAACTAGAATTTCCATCGCCTTTTATTTATTTATGTATTATTTATTTATGACTTTACAAAAAATTGCCAGTTATAGTTGACACTAAAGCTTACTTTATTGTAATAATTTACTTAGTTGTAAGGGAATTAATCATTATTAATTCATTCAGGTTTATTTCTAGCTCAGGTTTTAAAAGAACTCGATCTGACTTTATGAATAAGTAAACAACAATGCCCTCTTCTAGCACTTTGGAGCATATGCCTTATAGCTTATAGAAGGGCAAATGTGCTTTTCCTTGTAATACATTAATTCTTTTAATTGTAATAGTTAATTCTATTCTGACTTCACTGTATTTATAATTATATCTATTAATATTCCAATCAATCACCTATAACTGTAAAATCGTACATTTAGCACATGTGCTTTGATTTTATATGGCATCTTTAGCTAGATTTATGTGGCCAAACTAGATGAGTAATCTCACCATGGAAGTACTTTCAAAAGGAAATGTAAAATTACAGCTTGGAAGAGAACAGGAATGTGGCTCAGAGTGTGATCCATAAGTAACTACTTCGAAACTCTTAGGTGTGATTTTCATCATAAACACACATACACTCACACCCTCTTAAGTGTTAAAACCTGCTGTCTCATTTATGACAGCAGATCTGAAGCACTGAGAGACAGGAAAACTGATCTCAAAACAACACAAAACTCATTTACCTTACCTACATTAACCTTCAAACCTATATCCTTAATATGAAATAATAATAATAATAATAACAATACAAAAACTTGTAAGAAAAACTAACAGTAGTCCTACTAAAAAACTTTAGTTTCAAGACCAATTCTCACAATTAACTAGTTGCTTATTCTTAGCATGCATAGCATATTATCTAGCAAATTGGTTGTTTATTAGTAATTGTACTAATTATATTAGTACATATTAATGGCTTATTCTACATGACCTTTTAGATCCCTTTATCCAAACCCATACATAACTTAACAACTACCTCACTAACTACTAATAAGCAGCAAAGTAGGAGTTTATTGAGGCATAAGTTGTAGTTAAAAGTTAGTTAATAGTGACAATTGATCCACCAAAAAAGTGTGACCAAAATAAATCTTAACCAAATAGTTTTTATTCCCATATACAGAAAAAATATTATTTTTATAAGTGTGTTCAAAAGAACAGTTAGTTCAGTCTTCAAACTCGACTGGCTGAGAGACATTCTGGGACTTTTCGATGCTTTGTCCGTGTTTGCGCGTTCCAGACAGACTCTGTTCATTAGTGGTGGGGATTATTCAGCGACTCTTTCTGCACGGTATATCGATACGCCCATAGGTGGCGACATGTCATTGAATCATTCATTCAATCAATTTGTTCAAAAACACAGATTCATTCAGGAACGAAGCACTTTTATGTTGCACAACTTGGACTGGCAATATTGGGTCCAAAAAGAAGTTACACACCAGATTAACTTCTTGTTTATTAAACTGTTGTATATAAAATATAGCCTACATATGCTGTTATTCTGAATATTAGGAACAACAGCACTTCCTCCTTCAAACAACAGGTATTTCAACTTTCAACCTCATTTCCACATATAAAACAGTGGTTAAAAATATAATGATATGGTTCAAATAGGTTAATATTCCACTGGTGATTGGTGTAACTGGAGTTGTGATCCAAAGTGTCTTGTGTTTTGTACATGCCCAAGGGCCCTTCCTTCCCGTTTACGCCGTCACGCTGAAGCAATCAGGCTGTCAATCACGTGAATGTAAATTCCTCTGACAGCCACTAATAGTCAGACACAAAAATCATGCGGCCAGTGTTGGGAGTCGATGTGACAAGTGATGCACTGCTGACAGCTGGACCCTGATTTGACTATGAAACAGCAGGGCGCTGTCTCTGTGTAATTACAGGTGATAAAGAGCTTTATTTGTGCTGTTTGTTTGTTTTGATTGTTTTAATTGCAATGACTGTCGTGCATATGGTTTCTACTGCTTACGACTTAAACATAAATGCCCCTCTAATAGGCACAACTGTTATGTAATACGTTGTTTATAACAGTATGCAGGTTATGTCACATAAGACAAGTGCGGATGTATTTTAACAGCGGGCTGTGTGCTTAACCCTGCAAAGCCTGGGCCCCGACATATAAGCGAATAGTTAAGAAATCTGATTTTACTCAAATGGAAAAAGTTCAAACTTTAGATAAAATATTAATAAAATCTAAAAGGAAAAAATGAATATGTGTTTTTGTTGAGTATTATTTTACATCAAGCTTTTATGGCTAATATAGTAGGCTACACTGTAAAACTCAATAAGCTGTAATTGTTACCTTAAAGAGCAACCTTTACCTGATTTAAACCATGAAAATAAATAAATAAATAAATAAAAATTAAATTAGTATAAATTGATGTATTTAGGTTGATTTAGTGCTGCTATTTTTTTTTTTTTACATTTATAAAACCAATTAAGTTCGATCTTTTTAGATAGTTTTATTCAGAGGCCCAAACAGAGCAAAAATATGCAACTTATTAAATATTTTTATTTAAATGGCCAATAAGTAAGTTGAAATTCTGCCAATTTGTTTGTATATTTGTATGTAATGAGATCTTTATAACAATATAACAGACTACTTTCATATAAATAAAATAATAAAATATGTAAAAATACCTATAAATATCAGTGTCACTCTATACCTCCCAATTAGATATATTTAAACAGTAGTGTAGTTTTTATTGTAGGGGCAAAACAATTAATGCAATGCAGCACAATGATATCATGTTCAATACAAATATTTTAACACAGTTTGTCTAAAAAGTCATTTATGGATAATCAAGTAAACCGAAGTTGCTTCAGACCAATAAGTGTTTATCTTGAATTATTACCAATATAAAAGTTATTCTAAGATTTTACAGCAAAAATATACATGAACCAGGATCTGAAGAATGATACTAAAAGGCTTTTTACTTGCTAAATAAGTATAAACGATCAACAAGAAGACAAAAAGCACACTAGATTGTGTACAACAGGTTTTTCCAGCAACGTTTTGATCATGCTAATAGCATAGAGGCCTTAGAAATGTGCATTTAATCAAATATGATAAAGTAGGCTTAATAGGGTTAATTAGTACACTTCTATTCCTTCTGGTAGCAAAAGAGCTGTTAACGGTATACAGTATATTATCTTCCAGTTTCCCTATTACAGTTCTAAGATACTGCAGCTGAAACAAACGAACAGCAGCGCTGGTTCAAATAGCAGCACCGCTTCCTCAGAGAGCTCAGCCCTAACTCAAGGCAATGAGGAACCTATGAAGGGCAAAGATCTGGCAGTCTATCCAGACCTATTTGTCAGCTGAGCATTAGACAAATAGTACTGTGTTTACTTGACCCTTTTTCATGTCTGCCTTCACCACAGAACAGCAAAGCAACACGCAGTGTACAGCGACACTGAATTACAATTGTGTAAACACAGCAGACGGAAATCATTCCAAGCTTTTGTGTAAATGAAAAGCAGGCCGCTCATGTTTGTGTCCTAGTGTGTGTGTTTAGATGTTTTAATCAATATCATTTAATGCTCGCAAGACATATCCTTCTGTGCTTCATAAGGGGTGGGTGTGCTGTGTTAAAATGAAACAGGTTTGTCTTCACTAGGTAGTCTTTAGTATACTTACTAGCTGCATTTGTCTTGGCTTGTTCCCTGTCTATTCAAATGTGCATGGTAATATGTATACCAAACATTTACACAATAGCCATTCATATTTGTCTCTCTTGCAGTTTGCATAACTACACAGCTCAGTACAGCTGTAAACTTGTCTAATATGTTCACTAGAATTCATTGCCTAGTACGTTTTTATGCATCATAAAAACAGTTCATTTGGATTTGGAGGGCACTTGTTGAATGAGTAAACTGGAATTTGTTTACCTTAAATGTGTTTTTATGAGACCATCGTTTGGCCTGCAGTTGTTGTTGTCGAAAACATAATGATATGACATCACGTCATTAGAATGATAAGAGCAAGACATAATTCAGAGAAATAATACCATTTTAATCATTTGCTCACCAAGGCTGCATTTATTTGATAAAAAATACCGTAAAATTGTGAAATAATATTACAATTTAAAATAAGTGATTTCTGTTTTACATATATTGTAAAATGTAATTTATACCAGTGATACAAAGCTGAATTTTCAGCATCATTACTCTAGTCTTCAGTGTCACATGATCCTCATCATTCTAATATGCTGATCGATCAATTTAATGCAACCTTGACAAATGAAAAAAAAAAAATCTGAAGAAAAATGACTGACACCAAACTTTTGAACAGTATATACCGTAAACTTGTACCATAAGTTACATTGATAAGAAATGTCTAAATAATAAATAAATAAATAATATCAATGTAATATGTGGCAAAAGATTCAGTGGTTTAGATAAGGACACAAAACATAATATAGACTGTATTTAAAAGCATTATATAGTGTTTTCTTAATCTATTAGGCTGATGATACATGGGGCAACTTTTTGAGCAATGTTGCTGTCAATGGGCCACCAGATGAGACACAGAGCCCAAGACTGATCTAAAATATCCAGATAGAAATTTGTTACCCATTCTCAATGGAAAAGTGCCCAAGCAAAATTGCTCTTAAAAACGTTACACTGCAAAATTGCTCAAAAAGTTGCCCCGTGTATCATCAGCCTTAGAGTTTATTTGGCTTTTAGAAAGTGTTTTTCCTGCTTACAATGGCCTTGATCACTTGGCAGGGCATGTAATAAGGGTCTGGGGTTTGGGTTGGGTGTCTGTGTGGAGTGCCACCTAAACCTCTTATTATAGCACACAGGAATGCCTAAACTCAACTGCGGCAAACACTAACCACAGATTTGCAAGTTATCACGTGAATTACTGATATCTGATAACCCATGACATACCAATACTGCCACTTTCCTCTCGCTTTTCTATCCAGCAGTATATTGTACATTTACTGATAGAAAGTGCCATCAGTATGGGTGCAGCGGACAATAGTGAGGGCGACTGACTGTCTTTACCTTTTTTATCTGATATGTTATAGAGGAACTCTGGCTGATATGCATGCAATAAAATGTCACTAAAACGTTACTCTGCAAAATTGCTCAAAAAGTTGCCCCGTGTATCATCAGCCTTAGAGTTTATTTGGCTTTTAGAAAGTGTTTTTCCTGCTTACAATGGCCTTGATCACTTGGCAGGGCATGTAATAAGGGTCTGGGGTTTGGGTTGGGTGTCTGTGTGGAGTGCCACCTAAACCTCTTATTATAGCACACAGGAATGCCTAAACTCAACTGCGGCAAACACTAACCACAGATTTGCAAGTTATCACGTGAATTACTGATATCTGATAACCCATGACATACCAATACTGCCACTTTCCTCTCGCTTTTCTATCCAGCAGTATATTGTACATTTACTGATAGAAAGTGCCATCAGTATGGGTGCAGCGGACAATAGTGAGGGCGACTGACTGTCTTTACCTTTTTTATCTGATATGTTATAGAGGAACTCTGGCTGATATGCATGCAATAAAATGTCACCACCGTCAGACAGGACATCTTACAGTGTTGGCAGCTGACAGTGCAATATATTGTATATCGCTAATGTATTAAATGCAAGAGCCATTATGTTTTTCTGATTATGGTAGCAACTAATAAGACCAGTACTTAAAATGAAAGATCCAATCTAAAAAACGGTTACTTTATCAGTATGTGCGGGAGGATATATCGAGTATGAATAATAAATAATAATAAATATAAGCATAATTGCATACAATTAGGGCAGAGTGGGGGAAAACGCTCACCTTAAGGACTGTGTAGTTTTTTTTCTGTGAAACAAAAGTTAAATGTGTTCAGAAAAGTTATCATAGTTTTAGTGACAATGACATAAATTATAAACCAAGTATGAAAAATTACATTTGTACCAAAGGGGCGTTTTGCCCCACAGGTGGGGTGTATAAAGAAATAACTTAAATTCTATTCGTTTTTTTAATTAACATCCTTCTGTCAGGAATGTTTATTTTATATTATCTATATTTCTATTTATCTTAACTTTGATATTTGTATCTGTATACTGGTATCTGTATGAAATATTGTGTAAAACTTAAAGTTACGGTTCGAATAGTTCACCCAAAAATGATGTTTTCATGATTTTCATTTTTTTCACCTTCATGTCGTTCCAAACCTGTATGACTTTCTGTTTTTCTTCTCACTTGGTGATATTTTGCATGGTGGGAAACCAAAAAACATTGTCGCCCATTGACTTCCATTGTGTGGACAAAAAAAAAAAAAACACTTCTCATGCAACACTTCAAAATATCTTGAAGCAAGAAAGTCACACAGGTTTAGAATGAGATGAGTAAACAGTAGGCAGTAGGCCTATACAATCGTGAACTATCCATTAAGGGTTAGTGAGTGATAGTGTAATACAGTATGTGGGAAAAAAACATCCCAAATGCATCACTGCCTCATTTTGATCACTAGGCTATATCTATAATTTAATAATGTAAAACTCATTTTTTAAACGTTTTGCTCAAAGAGTCTGCTTGTGGTATGTGGCTTTCAAATAAATGCCATTGGTTTTGACATTTTGCTTAAATAGCCTAATGGTGCAAGGTTAAGTGTCCAAATATTTTGGCTGCCACGATAGATAGATGGATGGATGGATGGATGGATAGATAGATAGATGTCACCTGTTTGAGCGTCTGTGGGTCTGTCTCCATATGAGAGCAGAGGAGGAGGAGGAGGAGGACAGGTGAAAGCAGCTGGCAGTGAGGAGCTGCTTGTTCGCAGGCCTTTAGGGGGAGTGTTGAGACGCGTGGAGACCGAGACTGGCACCGCGTCTGTGTGAAGGGGGAGAGGCTGGGAAACGACGGGAGCACAAGCGAGGCAGAGCTTCACCGTCTGTGGCCCTCTGTCCCCTCGTCCTCGAAGCCTGCAAAAAACACATCGCCCTGCCGATAACAAGGACGCGGAGCGGTCGAGGGATAGACCCCAGCGCTGTCGCGCCAGAACCGGGGAGATGTCCACGGTGAGTCAGATCTTCTTCTAGGGTGATCAGTCATGTTTTATGTAGGGCTGCTTTCTAGTATGATTTCTGATGGACAAACGTTATACAAGGGTTTGCCTTGTATAGAGGACATTCGGAAGAGTCGGATGCGTGCGTGTAGACGGCTTTAATGCAGCATTAGCCCTGAGTTTTGACATGGCGAATAAGCAACGGCCAAATGCAACACCCCTCTCTCCATTCACACCAGCGATATATTCAAGATTGAATGCAATGCCTGTCTTAGATATTGCCCTAAAGGTCGTGCGCTCCCGCAAAATACGTGAAATAACCTGCAAAACCGCAGCTGCCGGTGTCTAAATAGATGTCATGCGTGAGGCTTGATGTTCATCTGATGGTTGAGTTGTGCGTGTTTGCCTCTGGTAAACAAGGCGATGATGACTGATGCGTTGGAATGTTCCGCGCGTTATGATCCCTATAACGTGTCCACCGCAGATATGGACCGAGTGGATGTGTGCACGGCCTGTGGCGCGCTAGAGTTGGGCATTTTTGGGTGGAGGACGGGGCTGTGTAGCCCACACTTGGCGGTCGGGTGTGACATGCTGTGTTGCACAAGTATCCGCACACTGTTACTGTAACAGCCTCGACACGGTCACTGCTGCGAATATGGCACACACACACACACACACACACACACACTGAACGCTGAACACACACTCAGTGTTATGTAACGAACGAAACATCTCCAAACGGCCTATATGGGAGAAATGCTGCATAGTTCTTCTGGCAACATGAGCCGTCGATGAAGCGCCTGAAATTTTGCAGCTTGCATATGTTATGGCGAACAGTCGTTGATGTTTATACGATGCTTTCTAGCGTAAATAGACGTTTTATGTTCTTTTTTTTTTTTTAGATGAAAGCACAATTGGACTGATGCAGCTGTCGTCCATAAGAGGAAACGGGGATTTAGATTAATAACAAATAGTGTTGAGACTGATGCGACACTGCGATCTCTATATTTGCATTATGTAACATCAGCGCACGGCTGCTGAAATGTCGTGCAAACGTCCCGAAGGGACTACAACCACATCGGCTATATGTGCAGTTCTCATCTTTAGTATGGCCTCAGATTCTGAATATGACTCGGAGTAGGTCGGTTATGAGTTTACATGTATTGTACTGTCTCATTAGATCGTTGTTTCATCAAAATGAGCGATGTTCGGTTCGTGAATGAATCATTGTTTTGAGCTGGAGCTCATCGATGAATTGGTTCTCAGAACCGAGTGATTCGTTCGGAAATGAATCGTCCGTAATCGGTTCTCGAGTGAACTTGCTAGAAATAGCATACTAGCACTATACTCGTACTGTTTCTATCATACTATATCTTATTTCTATTGTGTAGAACCATTGTGGTAAAATGTAAGTTGCTTTTAATGGATGCTTTTGATATTTCTGGTTTTCTCAGAAGTGGAAGTCGTAACTGGGTTAATTTAGTAATGCTGCGTTCAAGTCCTCCGTTCGTACTTACAACAGGGTCTGTTAACTCTGCTTATAGAAAATGAAGAGCAAAGAATTCGCATCAGGTGTGTTTTGCGTTTTTAATATTTTTTCAAAGTAATTTATGAAGCCACTTTAGTCTGTATCGCATAAAAACTTGTTATTAATTGTTATATTACAATCCTGCCACATTCAAAAAGCTCATTTTTTGTAAATAAAAAGCCTGACAATGCCACTGCTTATAAGTATTGTGATTTATGTTTTACTTTGGCAATCTCTCTGTCTCCCTCTATCAGACATGCAGTTCTACATGACCAATTTAAGTTTAAAGGACAACTAAACTATCAATTTAAACAAAAATTTACCATCAACTACAGACGTTGCATCCATCGATTCCTCCATGTTTCTCATTGACAGACACGCCCCCAACTCGGAAACTCGGGGCTTGACGAAAATTTAGAGTTTCCCACTCGTAATAACGACTTTGTGGTGTGCGTTCATGTGCATTCAACTCGTAAATACGATCTGTCCGACATGACTTGAACGCACCATAATAAACAAAAACTACAACACATAGCCTGTAGGCAAAAAAACTAAAGAATGGCACTCCCATTTGCTCCAGTATCAAAAGAAAAACTGATGATAACATGTCTATGACTTTACAAAAGAGGAAAAAATGTTGACAAATTGTTCGTACTGATCAGAAGAGAGAATAAATATTTGCATTAAAAATGACATAACTGAGCGAATGACACTTAATGACAGTTGTCATAAACATGCATAAAACCTCCTTCATATTCATGACATGTGTCATGTCATGATTATGAAGGTGTCCTGTCAGTCTTATGCACACCCCTTCAAGTAAAGTGTTACCGAAAGATGTCAAGTATGCGTTATCGCCTCAGCTGTTAGAAACACCAGTTTTGTAAATGTACATAAAAATTTAGAAAATGCTAGATTTACAATGTTATTAACTGTGGAAACGCATTGGAAAGAGATACATACTTTAACAGGCAAAAATTCTACTGGAAATAAGTTTATGACTTGGTTGACAGTTTTATAATATCAACAAACATAATAAAATAGCCAATTTTATTGAGAGTTATTATTATTGTTAAAAAGTGCAATAATGAGAGATGTACATTCATTTGGCCATTGTTTAATGTAAATGTAAATTTCATCTAGCTTCCACGCTTTTTATGAGCTCAATCATAGCTGCAACAAACTGAACTAGGATACATGATATTATAATAAACACACATATTAATAAAGCATAAAATAAAAAACGTAATTCAGAGTGTATGCTCTGTTTGCTCATTTTTATATGAATATTGTTCATTCATATGTTCGTTCTGCTGGTTTAGGCCTGCTAGGACTGAGTGATTGGATCCATTTAAGATTATCACTTCTTAACTCTAGTAATCTGTCATTGTCTAATTAGGCAGGATATACCGACACTGTTGCTTTCATTGATAGAAAGTGGCAAGTCCTGCAATATATTTTGACCTCTAAATTTAATATGCAGTACTAAAAAATGTGAGTCCAAGTCTTTGAACAATTAGTCAGCGTGGATTAATGCAAAGTCATAAATTAATGTTAAGCAGTCAGTTATACAGTGTTGCCCTGGACAACTGACATTACTTGGAAATATTTGTCCAATGCAAATCAAGTGTTCCAGAGAGCAGTGCAATAATATCTGCGTATGCAGTGATACTTAGTTTTCATATTCAGCGTTGCAGTCAATAAAGCTTTATTTGCATGATTCTCAAGATGCACTATATTGAGAGGGAGCATATAAAGTACTTAGAGTGCATAAAATACACAAAACTATCAATGGTTTAAAAAATGAAGGGGGATTAAAAGAAAGGGACTCTAGATTTAAATGAACCTGTGCTATGAAAATGTAGTGCATATGGTGATTTAGAAGTATTAGAAATGATTTGAAAAGAGTATTCTCATTCCTGCGAACTTCCTGAACTTGAAAAGATATTTGATCTTGCTGATGTCTTGACTCTCTTTCTCATCCATCTCCTTTCGAATCTTTAGCAGAATCTCTCGTCCTTCCACTGCCATGCTAGAATAACAAAGAGAGTCCAGAATATCTTAAAATGGCGAGGATTAAATGTAAAACTAACATCTAATGTGACTGTTTCTGAAGCTTCTTAACTCGTTTACTTAGGCATATTGTTATTAATCATTACTAGTAAGGAAGTAATGCATATATTGATTTAAGAGCTGCCTCTAGTTGATCAGAAATACAGTGACAGTTTAGCGAAATTAACCTGGTGCTTTCTATATTTGTTGTAGACGTTTTTATTGCTCAGTTCATGTGCCGTGTAATTTCAGCCTGTTAAATAGTGTACCTGTCAGAGGAAGGGAATTTTAGACAATGCGAAAGCGTGTAGTGCAATAACTCTAGTTTTAAATCATTCAACAGTGAAATTGTCCAGATGGATCGATTCTGTTCATGGATTTTATTTGTCTTACATTGTTTCTATTGATGGTTTATCATCAACAGATCCAGGCGTTGTGAAGATACAGTTGAACAAAGTATCAGATCTTCAGATCCATCAGGCCAGTCTTCAGTAACTAAATGAAACTGGACTCCCTGATAGCCATCAGTCAATTATCAGAACTCTACATTTTTGCTTTCGCTCAGCCACCGCTCTAAATGAGTGTCTCGGACAGCAAGATCAGGGCTGGGGCACACACCAGAACCCACACAGGTAAAGACATCCAAAAAATATGCATTATTTCATCCATTCATTCTGCCATGTGCGAGTCAATGACGTCATCTGTTCATTTATTAAAACACATTAAAAATGCAGTTTATAGCTGGGGTAAGATTTTAAAAATATTTTTAGAAGTCTCTTATGCTTATCAAGGCTGCATTTATTTGATCAAAAATGCAGTAAAAACAGTACTATAGCGAAATATTTTACAATCTAAAACAAGTGTTTTCTATTTGAATATATTTTAAAATGTAATTTATTCATTCAGCATCATTACTCCAGTCTTCAGTGTCACATGATTCTTCATAAACCATTCTAATATGCTGGTTTGCAGCTCACAGTTGTGCTGTTTAATATTTTTTTCAGGATTTTTTGATGAATACAAATTTTAAAGAACAGATTCATTTATTTGAATATTATTTGTTGTAACAGTCTAAGTCTTTCTTGTCCCTTTATTGCTAAATAAATAAATTAATTTATTTTAAAAAAAGGATCTTACTGAATGGTAGTGTACATACAATGGCTTGAATATACCTCTTCCCTGATGAACATGTTTTTAATATCTCAGTTCAAATTCATTTTAATATCTTCGGGGGCATAAAGTAAAAAATATCCTAAAATCAATAAAGAATAAAAAACCTTCATTACAGTATTGAAATTCATGTAAAGAAAACCTTGTTAGGTAGTTTAGGAAAATGTTTTATTATTATTTATAAGAATATTAATATTATTTATAAGCTTATTAATAGAAAAAAAGCTTTTGTCTGCTGTCATGTGGACTCTCCAAGAGATATTTATGAATGGATAATTTTTGATGCTTGTAAAAACCAAAAATTATTTTTATACAGTAAATTTATGAACTTTAAAAAAAAATACAATTAAAGGTGTGGCCACAGTGAAATTTTGAGAACAAAAATAGGTCCGTTATTAACAGTATAGAGCTGCATGAAGCACATAAGGCCATTGCAAACTAAGCAGCTTTTGGTCAGTGTGCGGCGAATTCATGTGACCAACTTTAACACAAGTTAAATCTGCACGGGGAGCTTTTTCTCCCTCGTGTGAATTCCAGATTCCTATTGGAATCACTGGATTTCACCCACAAAATTTTGCAGAGTAAAGATAAATGTGAGCGTACCTTAAGGCTTACGGAAACTATGTTATTACTTTTTACTTAATGGTCACACCACCTGACAATTTAGGCTGCTTTCACACTTTGTTCGCTTGCTTGGGCCAAACCCGAGTTCGATTGCTCCCCCCTCCCCCTGCCCCTGCTGGACTGCGTTCATATTATTTTATTTGGGTCCGAACCACAGTTCGTTTGCATCATCAAGCCAGCAGCTGTTTACCCCGTTGCTTAGTAACAACGGCGCAGGAGAAGGCGGCAAATGCATAACATTGCTCTCTGCACTTTTTATATATTTACGTTTTTGAACCGTTCGTTTTGTTTGCAAAGCTTCGGTACATAACGGCACTTACATCTGTCTTACGAATGTACTGCAAATGCTCTAAAGAACGCTGAAGGCGAACAGAAATGAGATATACAGCTCTCTGTTTGCAGCGTGTCAGTCATGCTCGTCAGGAAAGTGAGTGAAACACACACAAACACACATTTTTATCAAATAATACGTCATTAATAGTGGTCACTTCCGCGATTTGGTACAATTGCGTTCACATCAGCAGCAGCAGTAAACCATACCCCAGACTCGGCTACGGTTCGCGGGTGCGCACCCGAGTTCGGAAGACAGTGTTCGCATCATCCAAACAAACCTAACTCTGACGTCTGTCGAACCCGGGTGCGCACCAAAAGTGCTAGTGTGAAAGCACCCTTAGAGTCATTAAATGTAATCTTTTCTTGTAAATGGGAAAAAGCTTTTTAAAACCATATTTAACCAGAAGTACATTTCCACAAGTCTTTTGAACTACATTTTTTGTCTGCCATTCACCTGCATAAACATGCACCTCTCTGACTTTGGTTTTCCTACAGAATGTCCTGGATCAACGGCTTCCTAGTGGCCAGAGTGGATGACCGTAAGACCGCGTGGGGCGAGCGCAATGGCAAGAAGTCCAAGCGCAAGGTTGGCTCCTCTCTCTGCAACCCACGCTACATGAGCTGCCTGCGGGACGTGGAAGCCATGGAGCCTCCTCCCCAGCCGCCCCACGCTCAGGCCACCCGGTCCGGAGGAGGCAACTTCGGCGTGCGCTGCAGATGGCAGGAAGACCACTATGGGAAAGTGGGGGGTGGGCGGGAGGGGGTGGGGCTTAAATCTGTGGACCTGGGTTTCGAGGACGGCGAGGTCAAGGGGAGAAAAGGGGACGGCTCGGGTTGCGACGGCTTCAGCGATGACATGGCCAGCGACGAGGGGTCGGTGACGGCGGCGGACTGCTGGCAGCGGGTGGTTCGCGTGTTCCAATCTAAGAAGTTCCAGTCGCGCAAGCTGGAGCGTCTCTACCAGCGCTACTTCTTTAGACTCAACCAGAGCTCGCTCACGATGCTGATGGGCGTCTTGGTGATCGTTTGTGGGGTCATGCTCACGTTCCACTGCATCCACGGACCGCCCGATGTGGTCTACGCCTCTGTGCTCTCCGTGGCCATGGCCCTGTTCTTGGTGCTAATGGTGGTGTGCAACCGAAATGGGTTCCACCAGGACTACATGTGGATGGTCAGCTACCTTGTGATTGGAGTGCTAATCGTGGTGCAGGTGTTCGGGGTGCTGATGGTGGCCCCCCGCAGCGCCTCCGAGGGGATCTGGTGGTCCGTCTTCTTCATCTACATCATCTACACGCTGCTGCCCGTGCGGATGAGGGCGGCAGTGCTCAGTGGAGGAGTGCTGTCCTCCATACACCTCCTCACCACGTGGAGAATCAATCAGGACGATGAGTTCCTCTGGAAGCAGGTAGGTTGTTTTAGTTTATCCTAACTAAGCTTCAGATTTGACTTGTATCTATTCCTTTGAGTATGATGACTAGAGTTGGGAATTGAGATTGGCTTCATTGAAAAAATACTTCCTTTGAAAAGTTGTATCTTTAAATTCATCCCATTTATATCACTGATAGAGTCATAAAAATGCAGATGCATGAGTTTGGCTGTTGCGTCATCATGTCTTGCACTGTTGTTTGAGCGTCCCATCACAAAATGTGCCTTTTCAAGTTAAAAATAGTCCCAAGTTTGAAACAAGTGAGATCTGCTGATTTCTGTTCCATTCTGTTGCTCTCAAGAAGACATTTTATGTAAAAGCCAAGAAATGGGAATTGTTTAGGGCTTCCAGTTATGGGTCAATGACATAATCTTTTTAGTCGTTTATTTAAAAATGCTTTAAAATGCTGCACAATGACTTTCTGAAGTTTCTCAGTTGAAATGAAGCATATCCTGATATCATAATGAAGCCTTATTAAAAGAAAAGAAAACTTGAAAATAAAATCTTATTGATTAGTTTGGCATCGTTTTTTATTATTATTTATATTCAAATCAGCGTCACTTGATGCAGGAAACATTCTGAATTTTGCAATCAAAAAACAAAACAGGAAATTATATCATAAAAAAGAACACTTGCAGACACTCATGACTGTGCATCAAGGTCAGTAAGTCCTTAAACTATTAGATACTTAGATTTTTTTTCTATGAAAAGGCTAAGGTTTTAAAATGTAATGTGGTGCATCTCCCCAGAAACTTAAAGGGTTAACTGTTGATTGTGTTTATTAACAGTTAATGCTTCGTAAAAAAATTAAAACACATTATTTTTCACATAATTTACCTTTATTCTATACCGCTCTGTCCCTACTTTTATGAACGCTCTGATGATTTCCTGCTTTTATGAAGCCCCTCCCTCAGAAATACACGATGGGCTCAGATTGGTTAGCTGGTCCAGTGTGTTGTGATTGACTAAACTGCCTCTAGTGCACAATTAACCACCCCTTTAATATTTATGAATTAGTTCTTGATAGATATATAAAGAAATGTTTAACCTAGTTAATATATAATAATAATACACATTTAAAATAAATGTCTTTAAAAACATTTTTAAGTCTTTCTTGACAACGGTTTTAAAAATATAAATATAATATAAGACATAAAATGTGGACTTTGCACATGTGTGTTCAAACTAGAATTAACTAGTTTTTAGTTTTCTTTATCATGGGCAGTCATACATGTCATTGACCCCAAGACTGATTAGCTGACTTTTAGTTCACTAGTTGCTTTTGAAAATATCTAAACATGAAATATGTAGAAATAATTGCCATCCTTAATGATGACTGTACTTATCCCTAGAGAAAAAATAGTTGTGTGTTGTTAACTTAGCAGAAGCAAATTTATGTAATAATGTCACACAGCACTTTCATCATTTCAGCAAAGATAACTGTATTAGTTATTTAGGGTTTTATTTTTGTTTAATGAGTTTTGACTGCTTCCACCTGTCTATAAATATATTTCTCTTCTCATATCTGTATTTACTGCCGTTGTCCTGGAAGTGTAAAGACACTGTAGTGTAGAGCGTCAATTATGCAAATGCTCAAAATTGAATTCGACCATGGTAATCAGTAGGGCTGGGTATCGATTCAGATGTCCCGATTCGATTTGATTTCGATTCGCAAGCTCTCGATTTGATTCGATTCTCTATTTTTTTAATTACATTCAGTGAATATAGTTTTAATACAAATGCTATTGATATTTCTAAAAAATGAACAGTAAACATCAGTTTACAAATGGTGAATTAATAAAAAGAAATTAAGAACCAAATGCCTGTGTTTTAAAAAAAAAATTTTTTTGTATAGGGTCCTTTTTTAAACAATAATAGGGCCCTATAAGATGTTCTTAATTTTTCTGGTAATCAGATGAAGGCATAAAACATTAATTTAATTTATCCTAATCAAATGAAAATTAAACCCTTTTATTTTTTGGCAAACAAAGTGCTGCACAACAGAGGTTTTCTGTTAAAATTAAAAAGAAAACAGATGTGATTATTCCTTTAAAAATAAAGATTTATTAATATTTATTAGCAGTAGTAGCATTGAGTCTTAAGACTGCTAAATAGTAATATATTCTGACAGTAGAACGTTAAACTAAACGTTTATTTTGACGGGTTGCT